TCTCACAGAACAATTTGTTTGACAAGCAAAATAAGTTTAAGACACAGAAAGTTAAATCCAAACAGCATTTTTAATTTTTCCTTCTGGAAAGGTTTATTTATTTATTCATTTGTTTTTATTTTTTACATTCGTTGAACAGAAAAAGCTAATTGCTAGCCTTTCTATGAGCACCCAGTACTGTAAACAGCTAACAGCCATTAAGCAGACCTCCCACTGGTGCTCTCACCAGAACCACTAAACTGTTAAGTGTGGTTTCTGGTCAGCAGAGGGCTACAGAGTGGTGTCCAATGTGAAGCTGCTGACTTTTATGGCTCAAGAACCACTGAAAACAGTTTGCAAGCAATAGCTTAAAGTGATTAGTGCTCCTTTAAAGCAGTTTGCTTCTCATTTTTAGTCCCTGAGTACAGACAGGGCCATCTCCCAGAGGACAGAAGACGTCTTGTCCATGTCCTTTATTATGTCACCAGCCTACTAGAGATGCATCAGGCCAGATGTTTCCTCCAGAGGGAGCAGAAATCATTTTTCAAACAAACACAAGGACATCCAAAACACATTTAATAAAATAACATGTCACCATAATTAGGCTAGTTTGAATTGTGCCTCACATAAACACAGCTGTACACACTAGCTGTACACACGAGAACACGTCTGCCTGCTGTTGACCGTTTGCTGGAGAGTTGTGACCTCTTGTGGTCAATTGATGACATTGCAGCTTCTCTACCTGCAACGCAAAGCGCTGACTCAATCAAACACAAAAGGAACACGTTCAGTCTCATAGATATCTCTGGGCTTCGACTCATCATTCATTAAACTAAGATATATTTATCTGCACGTGTTTAAAGGGGCACTTCAAATGCTCTTTCAGAGCGTGGCAACATTTAAATAATGATAATTCTGAACATGCACAACAACTATGGAGCTACAAACCTCTGGAGTGATCAATAGTGAATGGAAAATTCAAAATGACACATTGACCCTTTTAATTACTGACATCCTTTGTCTTTCCCTGCATGCATTTTGTTCTCACCCCACTTTAATTTACAATTGCCTTTGTAATTTCCTTCTAGTTTTATTTCCTCAAGCATATCTCTCCTTTCCACAGTCTCTCAGCTTTTCCCATTTACTGCACTCTGACTTTATTATGCAGGTGAGGGAAGCTGTCTCTCAGGGGAAATGCAAAAAGAAAATACAAAAATGAAAGCTTGAAGAAATAAAAATGTGAGAGTTTAAATATGAATGTCATTGATCATTTGAGCAGAGCTGCAGGATGAATGAATATGCAAAAACATGGGGGGGGCCTACCCTCAGACAGCAGAGCGCTGCTCACAACAGGTGACAGCAGCCAGTACCGGTCGCTCGTGTACGTCAAAGTTATCTTTCATAAAAAGATAATCAATAAAATGATTTATATAAAGTGGATCCAGAAGTTGTAGCCTGTCTCTGCCTACAATATTTTGATATTTTTCACCCTGATGGTGGTTTTACTGAGCAGGTGCCACTTTTGTCATACGTTTCTTTTTAAAACATGTTTAGACTGTTCAGAATACAAATCCAGGCTCTGTCACGTTTGATCGTTGTAATTAAACTTTGTAGGTGGGGAAGGTCAGAAAAGGATCCAATCAATTTGTTTTCCCTCATTTACAGCGACGGAGATAACGGCGCGGTGCGTCTGGCTCTGGTGTTAATCAAGTTTAATTATATCTCTTTGCAACAATTTTCACAAGAAAACAGAACAGTTAAAAGCAGGGCTTGTGTTGACCGGACAGTTCCCGTATTTGACCGTTTATTTTGACGGAGAAAGAATAGAAAGAATTACCCCGACGCATGCAGACGATCTGACATTTTATTCGTTACACACATCGCAGATGTAGCTAAATCACTCAAGAAAGGATTCCCATCTGAACATCTGAGCTGGACACTGCTCAGCGCAGCTCGCTGTCAGCGCATATGTGCACAGCGAGCTGAAGTTTTGAATGTAAGAAAATCTGATGTTTGTGACCGGCGCGGGAAAAACAGAAACTAACTTCCGGTCAAAGCCCTGGGCAGCTGGTGACGTTTCACATGGAGCTCTGCTGAAACAACTGTAGTAAACAACGCCTGGCTCCGCTGTTTCTGCGTTAGCGTTATAGCAGAGAACAATGTGTCATCAGTCAGATGTAGCTTCTGAAGCCTCTACTAGTCGGTCAGATTTGTTTTTCTCTGGGATACGGCGACGAGAACGGATATTGGATTACCGGAGATGTTCAACCGAACTCCGACCCCGCCAGCTGGATATCACTACCAGAGGTGCAGACATGTTTTAGACCGTTTGACTCAGAAGGCCTGCGACCAGATTTGGACATAGAGGAGGACTCTGTTTATCTTCAGAACCAAAATCGGTACAGTTTGTTTACTTTTCTTAAATATTTCATTTCTGTGCTCCACTGGGAGCTCTAAGCTGACAAGTTCTCAGCTGGTCTTAGCTCCATCAAGTGTCCCAATATAGTTCGGTAATCTACAGTTTTACTGCTGTGTGTATTTATTGATATAACTCTGGAAAATATTTAACCGACAATTTACCAGAATAAATCTTCCTGATGCTGGAGTAACTCCTTCGCTCAATTTGTTGTTTGCACAAATCCAGGATGTCATAGAGGTTCTAATGTTGAAATATAGAGATCATCTTTTAGATTGTGTGTGTGTGTGTGTGTGTGTGTGTGTGTGTGTGTGTGTGTGTGTGTGTGTGTGTGTGTGTGTCATAGCTTTCCCAAAGGACTTGTTTTTTCCGGAGCGAACACGGATAGCAGTTTTGCTGCAGTCATGTTAACGGGACTCGTCTGGAGTCCAGAATTAGCGGTGCAGTTCTAGATGGATTTATAGATGTAGGTTATTATTTTAGATCAGACCTGTTATTTAAAAATGCGTGTAGGACACGGACACATGGCTCAGACCTTTTGCTGCAGCTGTAAACGCAATTTACGTAATAATTAGGAGCATGAAAGTAAACAAATAACAGTGATTCACAATACTAGCATCAGCAGCTATACCTTGTTTTACGTGCTGGAGTGACGTATGCGGAACACACTGGAGGAGAGGATTTGGATTTTCTGCAATGATTTATGACAAAAGTCCTTAACAAAATAAAAAACTGAACCCAGTACATGTTTATATAGATGGTAAAGTGTAGTTATTTTGCATTTCTACAATTTTAATGCCGAGCCAATACCTTTAACCCTTCACCACTGAAATCAGTTTGTTCATTCCAATCCTCCAAAATAATCCTCCAATCATCCAGCTGGAATCCTTAAGGGTCTCATAATGTCCATCCTGTCAGAACAGGCCTTGGGAGCCCAGGTGTTGCTAGAACTAACGGTGTCTCCTCACCAGTGTGAGCCTCCAAACTGTGAAGGTTGGTCTCCAAACATGAACTTTAAATTCATGCATTTATCTCCTCTTGTAACATTTTAACATGTTTTAAAAGGCTTGCATCATGATAAGTTACACCTCCCAGACCAAAGATAGGTCCAATATAAGATAAAACGTTATCATGCAGAGACGTCATTATTTATGAAATATAAGTTATTTTCCTGAGCCATTACTTCAGCCAAGAAATAAGATGCATGGATTTGATGAAACCATGCAGTCTCATGCAGTCCTATATGTGTAACGTGACACACACACACACACACACACACACACACACACACACACACACACACACACACACACACACACACACACACTGCAGCATGTTAGAATCTTCTGAATGACTAATTTAACTACACTGAACTGCTTTTGTAATAATTTAATCTCTTATTCTGGAGTAAACTAAAGAAACAAGCTAAATCATCACAAATCTGTGGCATCAAGAAGCATCTTCTGAGTTCAAACATGGAGCACAATGTTTACACCTGAACAGTATCAGGATGTTTAAACTCACAGAGGCCTGCAGGTCTTCTGTTTTATGAGCAAAGCGCTGATAATCTGCTTGTTATGAGCACTAAACGTTATTTTGCCGCTTCCATGCGGAGCGGTAGGGAAACACATTTCAAACACGGAACCGAGTGTGGTTACGGAACCGAGCAGAATGCTGATGACGTCACACCGGTGCGCGAAGGTGCGGGTTCCAACCCACAGGAGAGGAGGGAGAGAGGAGGTAAACAGCAAGTGGATCACAGGGACTGAACTGATGTTTTTGAGCAAAACTGCGGTAAAAATGGCTGTTTGTCCTCATTATCAAAAGTGTTTGATAATGATTATTTTAGATGTAACTTAGATGAAACAAAATCATATTTATATTGTTTCTTTTTATATGGGGATTTAATATTTTACTCAACTGTGAAGCCAGAAATCTGTAGGTTGAACTTTTTAACCGGAATGTTTTATTTATTTATTTTTTTTTTGTTTTGTTTTGCTTTCAAAACTTACATTTTTGGGGTTTAACTATATTTAAAAAACTATATTTAAATTAGGTTTAATTTAAAATATTAAATGAAATTTAATTGTATTTTTACATTTAATATAACAATTCAGATCTAAAATTGAAGTGGTAGATTTTTACTTCATATATAGATTTAGATCTGAATCTAAATCTTTACACCTGATTTTATTTGAACATTTTCACAATAGCATCGAAGTGTTTAGGTTTGACTATATATTTAGAGCTGAATTTAAATATTTAGGCTTAACCTATTTGGGATTAACTTTTTATGATTAGACCTATCTATTTTAATAATTCCTTAAACTGAAATTAAAATATTCAAGTATATCTTTTAAATGTGTAACTGAGTCTATACAAAATGATCTGTTATGATTTAACATTTGTAGGTTTAATTTTAGATGTGGTTTATTGAATTGAATTCATCCATATTTAAAGTTTCGTTGTAATTGTTTAGCTTTGACATAAATCATGTGAAGTCATTCATCTGTTCATATTTAATTCTATACGGCAGTAATGGGTTGTGCATTTTTGGGCTTGACAGGAAGCTGGAACATTCCGCACCTGGACTTAGTGGACCGTGCTTCATCACGTGGTGCTCTGACGCAGGTAGAGTCACGGAGGCGGACAGAAGCAGCTCAGCATCATCGTTCCTCTCTAGCTGGACCTTGTCTGTCCTCCGTCAGTCACCCTCTGGTTCTGGATCTGCCCTGAGTTCTGGACCATGGCTGCATCGGTGCTGCTGGTTCTGGCCGCCTGCATGTGGAGCGGAGCGCCTCTGTGCTCGGCGGCCAGGATCCTGCCGCTCAACCACCGACCCATCATCGGTAAACAACCGGTTCTGTTTCTGCTGCAGAAAGATGGATGGATTATTGGGGCTCCCGATTCGTTTTCAGGAACGCTCTAGAAAACGTGTGTGTGCGCGCGCGCTGCTTTTTTGATCAAGCAGGAGTGAGTTTGATGAAACTGGCCTGAATCGAAATATTCTTTGTTAGGTTAAGTCACGTTACAGTGTGACCAGCTTTTGGAGCTCCATCCTGCAAGTTTTAGATGTTCCTCAGCTCCAACACACCTGAGAGGTTCTGCTGAACTGAACCTGATGCAGAGGATCACTTATTCATTCAGGTGTTCGGGAGCAGAAACCTGAAACTGGAAAAGGCTCAGCTGGTGAAGTTAAATTGAGACTGTTTCAGAGATGTGTGCACCTTTTGTCATTTGGAGCCCTTGAGGCTGTGATTGTGACTAAAACAGGAAGGGTTCTGACTAAAACCATGGTATCCTAACGGGTAACCCACATGATGAGTATATGTTCCTTCTGGGAACAATGGCGTCCTCTATAATAAACAGATGGGCCTCAGACATTGAGAACATGTCAGCTGTTTTTAGGCCAAGCTAACTAAACTGAACTGGTTCTATTAAAGGAGTTTTTAGTTCTTTCATCTCAGCTGGATTCTGCCCATCAGGAATGTCGAAACAGGACCCAGAATGTTGCTTGGAGCCTGTTAAACATTTATAAAGAAAATGTATTTCTTTAATTTCCAACATTTTCTCTTCTTCTGTGGTTGCAATGTAACTTTAGGGCTGTGAGCTTGTAATGGATTACATATTTGTTCTTTTCATCTGATCATTTTAACTTATTTTCACCGTAAACCTTTTTGTTCTGGGTGTTTAGTGATAACCTCTGTTTAATGGATGAAGATGCCTCTAAACCTTTGCTCAGCCACTTCTGAATATAACAGATAAGAAAAAAACACCTTTAACTTTTTAGTTTTGAGTTGTTTTTCATCTTTCATCGTCTTCAGAGTTCCTGTTTGGTTTAGTTTATTCACATTTAACCTGACATGCATGTTTTTGGTCTGCGGGAGGGACCTACACTACCCTCTCACGAAAACATGACAACTCCACACAGAAGGGCTGCGGCCAGGATTTGAACCTGCGACCTTCTTGCTGCACAGCTGCAGTGCAGCATGCAGGCAGCCAACCTGCAGTAAACTAGAAATGTGTTTTGTTGAGTCTAGCTGCTCTGCAGAGGGTGCAGATGATCTGTTTGGTCTTATTTTTGAAAACAGTGACTAGTATGGTGTTCTGAGTAATAACCAGCTTTTATCTTCGTGGTCTGAGGTGCAGGCATGACTCAACAGGTTATGGTCATCAGCATCAGCTGTGATTATTCACCTGAGGTGGCATCAGTGTGGCTTTGGCTCCACTTACAGAAAAGACACTCACTGCGTTAACACTGAGTGTTTGTGTCTGATGACCTATCAGCTTGCTCTGGGGCCAATGGAGTAAAACAGTTTATCATATGTTTTTCTGGTGCTGAAATGATCTCAAACATGATGCAAAGATACGCTTTCTATGACACAGCTACAATTACAGCACATGTCTGGAGGACTTTTATATCTTTTTTCAATAATTATTTAATTGCGGACTTTATGATTGTTTATGGGATTATTTCATATTTATCATTAAAAATCTTTAGTTTTTCTGCTGAGGAACTTTTGAGTTAAAACCAGAAATACAATAATCTCTTTGAGCAGATTTAGAGTAATGGTGTTCCCTTATCAGGTGTGTTGGCACAAGAAAATCTCCCAGATGATTCGTTTGCTCGTGGCTCTTCGTACATCGCTGCCTCCTACGTGAAGTTCCTGGAGAGCGCCGGAGCCAGAGTCGTTCCCGTCCGGTAAGACAGAAGACCCTCCTAATCCGCCACAAACCAAATGTTTTACCAGATCCACTTTTCTTTTTGAAACATTAAGCTTTCTTAGGTTGACAGGTCAGTTGCCATTTTGACTGGACAAAAATAGGAGATGCAAAAACAAGAACAACATCTAAAGCAGGGGTGTCAAACTCATTTTAGCTCAGGGGCCACATTGAGGGAAATCTAGTCTCAGGTGGACCGGACCGGTAAATAATAATAAAAAAAAACTTCAGATTGTTTTCTTTGTTTTAATTCAATCAATATAAAACAAGGCTGGAGCCTGAGGACAGTGTAGTACAAGTACAACACCTGAAGTGTACTTGAAAATTTGAAAAAAAAAAATTCAATAAAAAAACATTCCTTGGTGATTCAAAGAGCTTACAGATCACATGGCAAGATCAGTTTCATGCAGCACTTAAAGTATATTTGACTCATTTTACTTTACATATTTTAGCTTTCACCAGCACATCAATATCAGAAGTCACATCCTGAGTGGCGGCTAACTTCAGGATGTGATTCAAGTTCTTGTGTGAGCCTTGAGCGCAGCTTTGTTTTATTTATACTCATTACAGAGAAAACTTGCTCACAATGATAAGTTTATTTTCACTCTACATTGTAAAGTATGAAAGTAAAGTTTACACAACCATCTCACGGGCCGGATTTAACCCGCTTGCGGGCCGGATCCGGCCCGCGGGCCACATCTTTGACACCCCTGATCTAAAGGTTCAGATCATGAGAGGAGAGCTTATTTCTAAAATAAGAGCCAAAATAATTAATAAAATCCATGTGATAATATGTAAAGCAACAATTCACATCAGCATCATGCTTTACAGTCATTAAAACAATATTATGTTTGATTAAAAAGTAGAAGCTTCTTGTTGCGATTTATGATTATTTCATAAATTCTCCTTAGTGAGACTTCTTCACCCTCCTGAGACCGTGCAGGGCTTGGTGTGGTGGGAAGATTTTATCTTTCTATTTCAGATTATCGGACTTCCTTAACATGTTCTCTTTTTAATGTTTCTACTGTGACAAACTAAAATAAACGTGAACCAAAGTTGCAGCTCATTCATGTACTTTTACCCTAATAAACACTTTTCCATTATTCAGAATCAATCGCACAGAAGACGAGTACACAAAGCTGTTCTACTCACTAAATGGGTGAGTTGGTCTGTTTTTATTAATATCAGCTGTAGGTTTAGTATTTAAAACTTGGACAAGAAGAAGGCCTTATCAAGAAAATCTCATGAACAACTTTCGACGACACCAGTTTCCTCATCTTGTTTGTAATAACAAAGTTTTGCTTCCCAGGCTGCTGCTGCCAGGCGGAGACGTTGATCTGCAGACGTCCCAGTTCGGTCGAGTTACCAGAATCTTTTACAACTTGGCACTGAGGGTATGACCTTTGACCTGTAGGTGTGACCATCAGGCTCCAGTAACATCACTTGTAAAGAGATGCTTGTTAATCTGCATCAAGGAGCAATTCGCCACATAAACACATTTTATCAGTTTCCCTAAGAGGATGCTTTAATACTTCGCTGGTTTATTTGCAGGCTAATGATGCTGGGGACTACTTCCCTATCTGGGGAACTTGTCAAGGATTCCAGCAGCTCTCTGTCCTCACAGCCAAGAAAAACCTGCTGACGCTCACCAATACCAAGGCCGTGGCTCTGCCCCTCACACTCACACCAGGTGTCTGTTTCTGTGGGATGTTGGGAAAGCAGAGAAATCACCTAGAGCAGTGGCACTCAATAGGAGTACCCCTGACTTAGAAGGTCCACAGAAACGTATCAGCGCTGTCACGGCCTGGTGGCTCTGGCACGTAGTGGTGTTTACACCAAAGCATCAGATACACTTGTGTGATTTCCTTTGTATTCTCATCAAAGCCAAATCTAGTTTGTATAAACCAGGGATGTTCCCTTCCCACAATCCAAGTCTGAGCCATTTGATTTTTAGTACCTGCCGATACGGAGTCCCAATCCGATCTTTTAGCATAGAGTTAAAGTAAGAAGAGAAACGGAAAAGCCAAGGTAGCTCTATTTGTATATCACAATTCAAACACATAGGGAATTAAAGGTGTTTTCCAGGAGCAAGGACATCAAAGTCAACATGACAGCATCATTAAAATACACAAATACATTTAGATCAATTTAAATTCAGATTTAGGAATCAGATGGGGAAACCCGTCCAGTTTTTTTTATTATTCCATTATTTGTGCGGCCTATTGGGCATGTGGGCTAATTTCTCAGAGCCTCAGTAAAAAGCTTCGGCCTCTGTGGCCCGGTATGACTGAAAGTATCTGACATAAACTCTACATCCATCCTGCAGCGGCCCAGTCCAGTCGTTTGTTCCGTGGTTTTCCCAGAGATCTGCTGCAGTCTCTGTCTGATGAAAACATCACGCCCAACTTCCACAGCTGGAGTCTTTCAATGCAGGTAGGATTTTTCTCTCCTTTAATACTTTTTATTCTCCTCTGACAGCATCGTTGCCCTCTGTAGCAATTCTTTGTTAGTTTTGGGGCAATCATTATGACCCCATTTTTACTAATTTAAATTTTTAATAAATTATGTCTCGGTGTGTGTGTGTGTGTGTGTGTGTGTGTGTGTGTGTGTGTGTGTGTGTGTGTGTGTGTGTGTGTGTGTGTGTGTGTTGTGTGTGTTTGTGTGTGTGTGTGTGTTTACAGAACTACAGTCGAAATGCGAAGCTGAAGAGGTTCTACAAAGTTCTGTCCACAAACAGTGATGGAGAGAAGGAGTTCATCTCCACTATGGAAGGTATTCCTGTCGAAAATAAAGAACACTTTTACAAAATTTATTTTTCTTTCGTCTTAAATAATCTTTGTAGTGATGTAAGCGTAAAACTAACACAGAAATACAGTTAATTATAAAAGTGGTTTGATATTTCAGCTAAATCAGTCAGTCTCCAACACGACTGCAGAGTTCCCAGAAGCTGAAGGCAACTAAAAGTATCTGAAAAAGTCCATTTGAATTTTTCTAAATCCTGTACAAATCTAAAAGTTATAAGACATTTGTTTTCCATCTTCTGTTGGTTTTCTAACAGTGTTTGTTTGTCTTCAGCCTACCGTTACCCGTTCTACGCTGTTCAGTGGCATCCAGAGAAGAGCCCGTTTGAGTGGATAGATAAGCCGGGAATGGTTCACACCACCTCTGCCATAAGAACCAGCTTCTACACGGCCAGCTTCTTTGTCTCTGAAGGTAAATGTATGATCTCTGAATGTGTATTAATGTATTTATTCTGCATTTTTTTTTATCCACTCACCGTTAATTATACTCTAACATGTAAGGAGCCATGGTGCTGGGCCCGAGAGAAAAATAAAAAATATTACTGGATTGCCTAAATTCAATCAAAATCTTGAGGAAAAAGTCCAAATACTAAAAGTAAAATTGGTATAATGATGAGGGTTTTTTTGGATAAAAGAAGTTATTTTTGGCTACCTCTGTAACTCAGAACTTCCCTTAATCCTTCACAATAAGAGTCTGAAACGTGTACCTAAACCATCTGAAGCTTATGAACTAGTTACAGAATGCTATCTGATCTAGATTAATAGACTTTATTGATCCCACAGTGGGGAAAGTCACTTGCTACAGCAGCACATGCACTTGAAGAAAAGGAAGAAGAAAATAATAAGGCTGCAGGTAAACAGACAAAGGCAGTAGGTTATTATTGTAAACTTCAGCCACTAAAAACAACAAATTAAAAAAATAAAAACCTTGGGTTTTCAGCACTGTGCAGCACGAGGGACACAGACATACTGATGTGCATCCGGTATTAAGCGTATACTGAGTATTCCATTGGTGTTGTTGTGTACCAGGATAATACCGGTACCAGTTAAACTGAGGAGTTATACACTCTTACTGCAGAGGGGATGAATAACCTACAGTGGTGTTCTGTTCATCTGGGATGTCTCAGTCTGCCTCTGAAGGAGCTGTCCATGGTCCTCACAGTGGAACACGGTGGGTGGGAGGGGTTTTCCCAGATGGAGCTCATCTTACTGCCAAACCATCAGTCAATACATGTTTCATGTAAACCCAGTTTCAGGGCCAACTCTGTTAACAGCATCTTAAATAGGTTCTTCACTGAGAAACAATCTTTTAATGATTATTTCTGATTCTAATGGGTCACTTTAAGTTTTTTATGCAGATTGAACATGAAAATAGTCTCCCACACCTATCTCCTGCATTAGCTTCTGATGGAAAATAGAAACTCTAAGATTAAAAAAGCCTGACAGATCTACGTCACACAGTCATAACATTCATGGCTCACACCAGGGAAGGCTGTTGTTGGTTTAGCGTCCAGGAAACAGCAGGGAACATCTTGGCTAGTAGAAGCTAACTGTTGGCATTAGCAACTCCACCACACAGCAGAACTCCTCCCGGTCTGTGCTATTTGTGGAAATAAAACATCAATGTTGCTGAGGAAACAGAGTCAGTGGTAGAGTTGTGTTGCTGTTAACCAATCAGATGAGAGATGTCTAAATGTCAGGATGCAAGACTCCAGATCCTGTCCTCTGAAGCTCAGCTCTGATGAGGCTTACTTCTACTTCCTGAAATTGGTGCACTGGAGCTTTTTTTCCCCAGAGTACGACTTACATGGAACTCACACACCCCCACACCCACGCACAAACATAGACTCTTCTCCTTAATTTAAGTTTCACCCTGTAGTTTTTATCATTCTGTGTAGTTTTATTTGCAGATAAGAACATGTCTCAAATCACGTGCTTCATAGAACCTTCTGGCAGGAAATAGGTGACTACAACATGAGAATGTGTGTGTGAATTAGTGGTGTGCATCTCTACCTACCTCACGATTCGATCCGATTCCGATTATCTGCCTAACGATTCGATTTGAGTCTGAAATGCATCACGATTCTTCACACAAAAATTTTCATTACTTAATAAAAGCAGTAGAATAGTTTTCAATTTCTTTTTGATTTCGAAATCCCTGAAAAACAGAACATTCATTTATTCACCATAGTGAGCAATAATGTTTAAAGTGTGCTGCCTATAATTACTTAAATAATATAAGAAATAATGTTTTCGGTAGAGCAGCTTTAAGATAGAATATTACTGAACTTAAAAATAGTAAACAAATACTGTGTTAAGTGATTCTTTCACATCCAGGATCCCAAAACCGAAATTAGCCCAGATATCCGATTTAAATGTAATGGGTACATCTTTGATTACTGGTAATGTTGGCCCTGTATCCCTGTCCGCCTTTTCTGTTTTAAATTGGTGCTAGAGCAACGCAGTGCGCATGTCATTGCAACTCTGCCCCCAGAGGTAATTATAAAACCTCAAAACTTTATTGTCCACGTATAGACATAGACCAGGGGTCGGCAACCTGTTCCCATCAAAGAGCCATTATTACCCGTTTCCCACAGTAAAGAAAACACTGGGAGCCACAGCAGCTGCGGCGTTGTGGGCGGGGCCTACCCTCAGACAGCAGAGAGCTGCTTTAACCAATCACAACAGGTGACAGCAGCCAGTACCGGTCGCTCGTGTACGTCAAAGTTATCTTTCATAAGACGATAATCAATAAAATGATTTATATAAAGTGGATCCAGAAGTTGTAGCCCGTCTCTGCCTACAATATTTTGATATTTTTCACCCTGTTGGTGGTTTTACTGAGCAGGTGCCACTTTTGTCATACGTTTCTTTTTAAAACATGTTTAGACTGTTCAGAATACAAATCCAGGCTCTGTCACGTTTGATCGTTGTAATTAAAATTTGTAGGTGGGGAAGGTCAGAAAAGGATCCGATCATTTTGTTTTTCCCTCATTTACAGTGACGGAGATAATGGTGCAGTGCGCCTGGCTCTGGTGTTAATCAAGTTCAGTTATATCTCTTTGCAACAATTTTCACAAGAAAACAGAACAGTTAAAAGCAGGGCTTGTGTTGACCGGATAGTTCCCGTATTTGACCGTTTATTTTGACGGAGAAAGAATAGAAAGAATTACCCCAACGCATTCAGACAAACTGACACTTTATTCATTTTGCGCATCGCAGATGTAGCTAAATCACTCAAGAAAAGATTCCCATCTGAACATCTGAGCTGGACGCTGCTCAGCGCAGCTCACCGTCAGCATGTACTACATAAGGTCCACAGCGAGCTGAAGATGTGGAGAGGGGCTTGGAGCACGTCGCAGAACCAGAGCGCATGCAGGAAGATTCCTTCCACTGAAGAGAGACTTGTCACTTAGAAAATGTTCCCTGATTATGAAACTTTGGCTGAATAGTGCTTGTTCCTGTCTCCAGTGTGGCGACACATCCAGGAGCCTGTCTGAGGAGAATCCCAGAATCTGACATCCTCGTCAGCTCAGAATGCGCCGATATGATTACGCACAAGCGTGACCCGTCAACCCGGTCTCACAGTAAGACCGAGTTGGACCTGTTCAGGTTTACGCAGACAATCTTTACGTTTAGAGCTGGCATACAGATTTAAAATTAATGCAGTAAAATATAAAGCATTTTATTTAAATATCCATTCATTATTTTACAAGCACAGAGAGCTGCATCAGATGGATGGAAGAGCCGCATACGGCTCCAGGGCTGCGGTTTGCCGACCCCCGACATAGACATAGGGAGAAAATCGCATTATGTCACGTTGCTGCATCAATGTGGAATCATGCACGGCTGAATCGCGATGCATCTTAGAATCGATCATTTTTTCCACCTCTAGTGTGAATGGCTGAATGACTAGAGTAAAGTGCTTTGGAGTCCTCTAACCCAGAAAAGCTACAAATGAAGGTCATTTATTATTTTTCTGAGATTAAGGTCAGATATCTTTTTTTTAGCTTTTCCCATAAAAATCTACTGTGAGGTTTTGATCACTTTTAGAAATCCAAATCCATTTATGGCAGGTCCAAGTGGCAGATCAGTGATCAGATCTGGTTTTTAATCTAAGAATCCTCTCAGCTGTTCCTCTGCGTTTTCCTTTCAGCCATGAAGAGTCGGCACCATTTCTCCAGTCCTGCTGAAGAGCAAAAAGCTCTGATTTACAACTTCTCCCCCATCTACAGAGGTGTCAATGCTGTCTTTATTCAGAACTATTACTTTGACTGAGAAACAGCGATGAAGACGAAAGAGACCTGGGGTCAGTAACAGCAGGATTTGTCTCCTTGAATCATTTCTGTCCAAAACCAGACTTGGTGGAGTTGTTTCTGTAGCCCCTGTCTCACCCAGAAGAAAACCAACACAAAGGTGGATTTTAACATGAAAAATGTGAAAGGTCACTAAAGGTCAAGCTTGTAAAAGATGGAAGATTTATTTGACCCACCTAATCATCCATAATGAGTTAAAATATTTATTAAAATATTGGATTACTGAGTTTTGTTTGGCTAAACTACCAGCAGCAGCTTTAAAGGTACAATACGTAAGAATTATTCAGCGAAAAATCAAAAAACAGTCTAATGGATCAATGTTGGAAGCAAGGTTACAATAAAACAGAGTTCCTTCTCAGCCGCTTTTGGGGGTTGTCAGACATTACAGTTTTTGTCCGTTGCTTGAACACATTTAGCAAAACTTAGCTCATTGTGCCAAAATTCTACACACAAGTAAACATACCATTCACATCTGTCAAATTGAAACTCGACTATCAAAACCTAAACTCTGCTATCAAAACTTAACATTCCTTTGTCAAAATAAAACTCTGATGACAAAATGATACACACTTGCATCATGTGAATACACTTTCAGATTGGAAGCAACACACTAGAGTACTTTATATAAAACAGTGCAGTCTTTTATTCTCACTGTTTTTATTCTGTTCATCAGTTAGCTTTCTGTGAAGCTCAATGGAACACTGTTTTTGTTCTCAACAAAAGGTTTCCCCAACAATCGAAAATGAACGTAACAAAAATACTACTGTAAATAAAGGAAAAACTAGGCAATTGTGCATGAGTGGGATCATGGATCCCGCCGTCTGTTTGGGTCTGGCCACATGATCTTGTCAACATCACAAGCGATATTTTCTCCTGCTAAGCAACGGGGAAAATAGCTCATTGTGTGGCGAATCCATCCATGGATTGACATTACCTCAATGTCTCTGCATGCCGCTTCCATTGCAAGAAGAGGTATGCGGGCATGTGGTTGGCGGTCATACATGTGCCATCTCCAAGCGGAAAAAAAATTCCTTGATTGGGTTTAGAAATGGCGAGTAAGGGGGCAAGTAAACAACTTCAAATTGATCTTGGTTGGTGAACCAGTTCCGGACCAGAGCTGCCCGGTGGAAACTAACATTATCCCAGACAACAACAAACCTGGGCCGCTCTGGTCTGTCCCGTACAACTGCATCATGAAGTGCATCTAGAAATGTGAGTATTTGTTGGGTATTGCAGGGACCTAGATTGGCATGATGATGGTGATGATGATGGTGGCACTCGAAGGCTTATGGCAGCGCACAATGTGATGTTTCCCCCGCGCTGCCCTGAGACATGCACTATTACCCTTTGGTCAATGATATTATGACCCCGTCGTCTATTTTTAGTGAGGTTGAAGCCAGCCTCATCAATGCAAATCAATTCATGAGGCTGTGCAGCTCCATCTGTGTCCAAGAGTGTCTGCATTAAAAAATAATAATTACATAGAATGGATGGCTGGCATTACTCAAAACATACAACTACAGTACTACGCATACAGAATCCCCTCACCCATCACACACACACACACACACACACACACACACACACACACACACACACACACACACACACACACACACACACACACACACACACACACACACACACACACATGCCTGTATCTCTGTGACACTGATACACTGGCATAGCTATTACTGTACTGAATTACATAAATACTGTATTATAAATGTACAGTAAGGGACTGCAAAACTTACTTGGCCATATTCTTGTCGACGTCTTATGACCCTGAAACCGTTCATCTCAAATGGGACCCAGTACAACTGCTTCATTGCGATTTGATGCTTTGCCAAGACACGTTCGATCGGGGTAATGCTTACTCGATTGATGTTTGTGAAACCTGCCTATCTACAAGTATTTGTTATCCTGGCCTAACAGAGTCCTCCTCTGTTTATTTCTGCACAGAGAAAGGGTCTGGGAACTCTCCTATTCAAAAACCCCACCCCATGAGAATTCTAACCAAGCCAATCAGCGCTGAGTAGCGTACGTCACACACCGTAACGCCAAGTTTGTCAAACATGGCGACTGAAGCGGAGTTCACTGCGGCTCTTTCCTCTGTTCTAAATGACTTGGACACGTCTTTAAACCAACAAGTAGAAGCACTAAAAAGTCTTTCTTCTAAAGAAAGATGTTTGCTCTGTCGCCAAACTCCGTTTTTGACTACAGCTGAAAAACTACAGCGTCACGGAAGTCACACACAGCGATGCTCAGTTCCTCATGAACAACAAAGACGGCAGCGGAGTTGACTGTGGCTCTTTCCTCTGTTCTAAATGGCTTGAATGTCTTTAAAACCACAAGTAGAAGCGCTAAAAGCATTTCTTGTTCTAAAAAAAAAGAGATGTTTGCGCCATGGCCGGAAGACTTATTTATTTATTTATTTATTTTTAACTAAAGCTAAAAAACTACAGCGGTACAGTCGGCATTTCTGTCTTTTGTCTGATTGGTTATTTTTGAGCTGCCTAGTCCCGCCCCTCGAGTGCCTCTCTGAGTTACCAGACTCTTTCTCTGTGCAGAATTAAACAGAGGACGAGTCTGGCAGGCCAGGCTAAGTATTTGTTGCCGTAGCTGGTGGAGACGAATAGCATTGTTTGCGCGGACTATTTTCACAATGGCAAGTTCCTGCTGTTGGGTAAGCAGGCATTGCCGTCCACCTCGAGAAGGTATTCTAGTCATTCTGTAGGAAAAAACAACCACAAATTACATTTGGTTTAGTTCTTTTGTACAATACTGTATACCGTACACAGTAATGTGACATCTCAATGGTGCAGTACTATGTACTGTACTGTATTTTTCACAAAACTACCATTTTTGTTTCTAAAGGTAATGTGATACAGTACAGTACTGTAAATACTGTAGATACAGTCTGGAGTAGAGAGTTGAAGACATACCTGTTTTCCAGTCTAAAGGTCCTTATAATGGAAGCAACTGTGAACCAGCTAAGGTGTGGATGGACTCTCTGCCCAGCTTCCCTCATAGTCAGGCCATGATTGATTACATGATCCACCAAAGTTGCTCTAATGTCATCGGAAGTATTATTCCGTACATGACCTCTTCACGTCCACGTCCTCCTCCTCTTCCTCCACTATCTGCTTGTCTTCCTCTACCTCTTGCTCTTTCTGCCTCCATGCTTGCAAAGTTCTGAAAATGGCTAAACTGAGGCCTATTAATGTCTGGCTGATTGGTGTTGAGTTTTGTAAGTGTCTTTTCAGGTGTGTGTCTAGGTGTTTTCAATCACCCAATGTGTTTTGTATTTGGAAGAAATGTGTTGTCCCAATGGTACCATGATATTTCATTTATGAACAAAGTGTCTCATGCATGAAATAGTGTGTAGTGCGCAGGAGTAAGTGTGTTGCAGAAATGGAACTAAAGTGCAAAGCAACTTAAGGTAGGGATGAGCCGGATACTCGTTTCAGACGAGTATCCGGTACGGATAAAGCTTTTTTGACGAGTACGAGCATGAAACGAGTAAAACTTGTAAATATCTGTAATCGTGCTGAAGGAAAATCCTCATTGGGTAACTGACTGTCTTCACATTCTGTGATTGGCCAGTCAAATAGAGCGCCCACCCCTCCCTACACACAAAACTCTGCAGCCGGGAGCTCACAGCTCAGTCCGCGTCCGGTCCATCCACGCACACACACAGACAGAAACGGATCTCTCTGTGCTTGCTTCACTGTTCACGTTTCTTCAATATTCCCTATGTTTTCTTCAGTTTGCTTCTTTTTAAAGTTACTTTAAAGTGATTTAAAGTTACTTTTTTTTTGTAACGTACGTGGTGCATTTGACAAGACAGAGCTGAAAACGGCTCTGTCAGTCACTGCCTCCGCTCTGATGTTTTTTTTCCCTCTCTCTCTCTCTCCTCTTCCTCAGGATCCACTCCCTCTTTCCTATTCACTCTCTCTCTCTCTTTACATTTTTTAATCACAATTGTCTATTTTTTGCTCATTTTAAATATATTTTAATAATTTTCTAAATTCTTTTTTCTATTTTTCATGTTTTGTTTTTGTGAAGCGCCCCGTGATTTTCATCTTGAGAGGCGCTATAGAAAAGATCTTTTCTTCTCTCTCTCTCCTTTAATTCATGCACTTAAATATTAAATGTTCTGATTTTATTGAAAAACTTGTTCTGTAATAGTTCCTTTACTATTGTGATCAAAAACATTTTATCTCAACTCTGAGGCTGCTCTGTAAATAGTTTTCAAATAAACAATACACATAGCAACTTCTGATCAGACTTAAAATAACGTATTGATGTAAACCACACCCACTTCTGGTTAATCTACACCCACTTCTGGGTTAGGCCACGCCCACTCAGAGTACAGATACAGATAATTTAGATGGTTGAACAGATACAGATACAGATACAGGTAGTGGTGTACTCGCTCATCCCTGGTATAAGGTATTGCACAAAAGCTTCAGGTTTTGTTACTTTCTTCTAAGCATGTGTTTATAGTGTTCAAGCAATGGGCAAAAACTGTAAAGTTTTTACCAGAAAACCAAACACAAATGGGAACAAGTGGATAGAGATGTCACTTTTAATTTATTTAGTTTTTGAGTAATTTTTAAGGTGGATATAGCATTTAAGGTGGTTGCATTTTTAAAGAACTTGATGGGTTTAAACAACCCTTTTATGAGTTAAAGCTCAGAGGAGAAGATGGGTTTATTGTCCAAACCTGTTCGTGAAACCAAGGATTACCTGTTATGTTATCTCTTGTTGAGTCAAAAAAAAAGTCAGAGGTTATCCCTCCCACTGTCTTTATGGGTAACCCCATGAGGAAAGTTGACCATTGAGCAGGATTGATGGTTTATCCCTTGAGGTCCACATGGCAGGGGTGAGGTGGTGCTCACTCCTCATCCCTGCTCAATGGTCAACTTTCCTCACGGGGTCACACCCATTTGGACAGTGGGAGGGTTAAACAAATGTTCATTTCTGGTGTATTTTGTTTATAAACACAGGAATCAGTGATTAAACTCGAGATGAGTCATCTGTCACTTGGATTATATTTTTGTGTGTTTTAAGATCATTTTCATGATTTAATCCATAAAAAAATTTAAGAACAATGCCAAAAAACTAAATAAATTGTTTTATTTGTCTTGTGTGTTCTCAGTAAAGTAAAAACAAACAAATATAAATGTCCTATATAATGGAATTCTGTTATAAATGTCTTTATAAAGTTCTGTCAGCTCGTGGATTTGTAAACGTGCAGAAGATGCACAGCTGACTGTTTAAGATGATTGTTTAATGTGGTCTCAAACTCTGTTTTATGAGTTATCATATATTAATCCTAATGTAATAGTAATTTATCTCAAATTACTGTAACACATTTCATCTTACAAGACACTTGTACTAATTCTAAAGCTCTGAAATAAAATTTTCTGTCACCAGAGTGAAACTAATCCAAAGTTAGTTCGTCTATTAGTTTGCATTCATTTTGCACATCAGTGCACATTTTCCTTCAGGTAAATGGCCTAGGGGTTAACATATGAAGAAATAATCAACAAAGTAAAATTCTTCTTTGCAGGAAACTTTTCTAGGTGTAATAAAACAACTGTCCACAAGATGGAAGCAAAACATTGTCAAATGTGTTCTGTTGCCTGCTGATGGAAAATAATTATCTGGTACTGGTGTTTTACCATTTCCTGTTAGTGGGGATTTAAATTGGGTTGTAATCGGACTGAATTGGAATAAAGTTTGATGAAAAATATTTCCATTGAACCTTTTTCTTATCATTAACTTCTCAAGAGTGACCCTAAATGGGTCATGATCAAAATCTATCCTAACTAAAAGTTCACCTCTCTGTGTGGGAGTTTAAGTAATGAAATCCTTGCTACTAGAATTACATATTTTAGTGTAGGCAACTTTTACTTTTGTTGAATATGACTGTGGATGTGAAATATTGTACATCATAACATTTGAAGACACTGTAAATTTAATTCCGGATAAAAATCGCATATAGAAGCTCCTCTTGTCTTCCTGAAGGAGGAGGAGCTTCCCTCATAGAAAGTATCCGTCCCTTCAGCCCACATGCTGCTTTGACTGGTATGTTGATGCAGACCTAAAACCACCATGGAGACATTAGTCTAACAACCATCTCTCTCTGAACTCTGATGGGAGTTAACGTTTGAAGAAACTCCTGGCTCCAAATCAAAGTAAGCTAGCAACTGTATCATATAGGTTAGCTTGTTGAGGTGTTGGCTTTATTAACTCATAGATGCTAAACAAACCAAAACACCTGTTCAACAGGCGGGGGTGAGTTTAATAACATAACTGTAGCATTGGTTTGGACCTTTTAGACAAAGGTTAGTAAGATATTGTGTATAAATGTGCAACCATGCTATTCTTGGTTAGCACCAGAGTTTAGCTGCTAGCTTGAAGCTAATAGTCACAGAACCATATTACAGATAGTATAAGTATCCTAATGAAGCTAACAAACAAAGTAATGTGTTACAGATTGCATTAGACACCACATGCTGTCAAAAACTAACATTTATTCAGTCTAATTTTAATTGGTTGTTTTTGTTTTTCTTGAGTAGATTTTAGCTCTGGTAAATTGTAACGTTTCACTAGAGTTGTCTAGTTATTTGTAACAAAGTATTGTGGGAAAACTGTGTTGTCATCATGACCAGTGTTGCCAACTGTTTTTGACTGAAAATAGCTGAAGTTCCCCCAAAAGTCGCCAGATGACGTCACTTGCTAATTTTCATATGATGCAGTGACATCATCTGGTTTGCGTGATGATGTCACCACGTTTGCGTCATGACGTCACCGGTCTTGTAGAGTAAATCAAATAAAACCTGCGTGATTTTATAAAACAATATATTTAATTAATTTTTTAATATTTTATTAAAATAAAAACCCCATAGAATACAAAACAGCAGCCTTTAAAACATCAAGGAAAGATGGCACACAAAATAGAAGGACTATTTCTATTTTGTCTGAAGAGAATGGAACTCTTAAACACAAAAATATGAAATTGATAGGAATGTATGTATGATTGAATTAAAATAAATTTTCTCTTGTCGTTTTCAAGTGCCTTGAGATGTATTCTTCTGTTGTGATTCAGTGCTATATATTGACCTAACAGATAATATATATATGTATATTTATTTTTGTTTGGGTTCGTTGTTTTTAGTACTTTTGTGTAAAAAGAAGCAGGCCGTATTTAGTATTCAGAAACGTTACATGCAAACTGCCAGTGGCCTGAGGTGTTTGCCTTATTCTGTTTTTTATAAAAGTTTTAAATGTGCTACGTTATTGAACTCATCATACAGTTCCAATGTTTCTTGAATGCACCACAAGTGGTGCGAGCAACCATGTGTGAGTGCGATGCTGCCTGCCAGTGCCAGCCGAGCTCAGCTGCCGAAATGCGGCAGAATGGCCGAAGGAGTGGTCACCCTTTATGTAGCTCAGGTAGCTATCTCAAATAATGGACTTGTGAAAACCCACAAAAGGTTTGATTGGTAAATGGGGGTAGTGTGATCATGCTGCATGCACACGTGCAGATCATTTTCTTTCTGATCCTCTGGAAGGAAGGATGGTCCTGTCGCTTCAGATGCATCTCTAATCTACAGGTGAAGTCGGCTACAAAGTTGTAGTCAGAGTAGCTGAGGGGGGTCAGAAATGTCGCCAGATTTGTTGCTAGGCGCTTTTTTGAAAAAAAAAAAGAAGTCGTTAAGGGGGTCTGAAAAGTCGTTAGAAATGGCGACAAAGTCGCTTAGTTGGCAACACTGATTATGAACGTCCGAATCACTAACGTCAGGCATTATCAGACCTTCCACATCCCCCCTAGGAGCTGGGTTTTTCTTTGTCACAAAGAAGGATGGTTCCCTTCGGCCCTGCATCAATTATCAGGGTCTCAACCAGATCACTATAAAAAACAAATATCCCCTACCTTTGTTGTCATCCACCTTCCAGCCGGTTCAGAATGCCACTGTTTTTACTAAGTTAGATCTCTGCAACTTCTATCATTTGGTTCGAGTACGCGAGGGAGATGAGTGGAAAACCGCTTTTAAAACACCACTAGGCCATTTTAAGTATCTTGTGATGCCTTTTGGGTTAACTAATGCGCCTGCTGTTTTTCAGGCACTGGTAAACTCTGTGCTGGCCGACCTTATCGATAAATTTGTAACGGTTTACCTTGATGACATACTCATTTTCTCAAGAACCCTGTCTGAACACCGCCAACATGTACAAACCGTCCTTCAGAGACTTTTGGAAAACTGTCTTTATTTAAAGGGGGAGAAATGCGAGTTCCATGCCCCATCCATGAGATTCCTGGGCTTCATCATTGAGAGCGGGCGGCTGAGAGCAGACCCTGAGAAGGTTCAGGCCGTTTTGGATTGGCCTGTACATACTACCCAGAAACAATTGCAATGGTTCCTGGGTTTAGCCAACTTTTATCACAGGTTTATCAAGAACTACACTCGAACTGCCAAACCTCTCACTTCATTAACCTCCATAAACAAGCCTTTCATTTGGAACCCTTCTGCTGCTGCCGCTTTTGCAGAACTCAAATCCCTTTTCACTAATGCTCCAGTACTCACTCGTCCTGATCCCTCAAGGCAATTTACTCTGGAGGTGGACGCTTCTGACACTGGGGTGGGAGCTGTCCTATCTCAGATCTGTCCCTCAGACAACAAGCTGCACCCCTGCGCCTTTTTCTCCCGTCACCTGTCACCTGCTGAACATAATTTTGATGTGGGAGATCGGGAACTGCTGTCTATCAAGATGGCCTTTGAGGAATGGAGACACTGGTTGGAGGGTTCCGAGCACCCGGTCATAGTCTGGACCGACCACAAGAACCTTTCGTACCTAAAGACAGCCAATAGACTTAACCCTCGTCAGTCCAGGTGGTCTCTGTTTTTCTTTAGATTTAACTTTGTGATTTCTTTCAGACCCGGATCCAAGAACACCAAGCCTGATGCATTATCCAGACAATTCTCTCCAGATAACAACACAGAGCCCACTACCATTCTCCCTTCCTCAGTTGTTATAGGTTCCATAAGCTGGGAGATTCAAAGAAAGATTGAGGAGGCCCGCAAGACAGACCCCGGCCCAGGTACTGTGCCCCTCAATAGGACTTACGTTCCGGTTTCTTGCAGGGGTTCCCTCATACACTGGATAAACACAGCAAGGTTCTCCGTCCACCCAGGGGTTGATAGAACACCGGCCCTCCTACTCCGAACCTACTGGTGGCCTCTTATGTACCGCAATGTCAGGGAGTACGTTCTGACCTGTCACACTGCGCTCGAAGTAAAAGCAGCACACAAGCTCCATTCGGATTCCTTCGACCCCTTCCCACTCCGTCTAGACCATGGTCACATATAGTGATGGATTTTGTATCTGGTCTTCCCTCTTCTCGAGGTATGAGCGTTACATTGACCATCGTGGACAGTTTTTTTAAGGCCTGTCATCTTGTTCCCCTCAAGCACCTTCCCAGCTCCACTGAAACAGCCCAGCTCTTGATAAAACATGTCTTCAGGCTCCATGGTATACCGGCAGAGATCGTATCTGACCGTGGCCCCCAGTTCCTGTCGCGACTGTGGAAGGACTTTGCTCCTAGCCTGAGAGCCCAAGTCGCGCTCAGCTCGGGTTACCACCCCCAAACTAACGGTCAGTGTGAGCATATGAATCAAGAGCTGGAAGCCATGCTGCATTGTATGTGTTCTTCTAACCCTTCTAGCTGGAGTCAACATCTTCCCTGGATAGAGTACGCACACAATACCCACACCTCCTCTTCCACGAGCTACTCACCTTTTGAGATCACACTCGGCTATCAACCTCCTCTGTTCCCATCCTCCTCATCTGAGTCGGCCATCTCCATTCTGCAGTTCATCCGAGGTGCACGTCACATGTGGATGCACACAAGGTCCGCATTTCAAAGGACGGCTGATTGCAACCGCCGTCTGGCTGACCGACATAGGCGGCCGGCGCCTCCTTACTCTCCCGGTCAACAGGTTTCGCCCTCCACAGGAGACATTGCTATCAAGGGTGTGTGCAAGAAGTTGTCGCCTAGGTTCATACGTTCCTACACCATCTCTGCCATTATCAACCCCACATCTGTCCGACTCGACCTCCCTTCGTCTCTGAAGATCCACCCAGATTTTCACGTCTCCCTATTCAAGCCTGTCGAATCAAGTCCACTGTGTCCTCAAGATGAACCCCCACCTCCGGTCCAGCTCGCCAGTGGAGGTTTGGACTACAAGGTTCAATGCCTCCTGGACGTCCGCCCCCGGGGTCGGGGGTTCCAGTATCTGGTCAATTTGGAGGGTTATGGACCTGAGCACCAGAAGTGGATTCCCTGTTCCTGGATCGACTACCAGTCGTTGGTGCGGGACTTCGAGGCTTGCCTCCTCCTCCTCCTCGTCCTCGGGGTCGCCAGGTGGCGCCCCTTTGGGGGGGGGGGGGGGGGGGGGGGGGTTACTGTCACAGCCTGAGGTTTATTATTCTCCAGACTAACCTCTTTCCTGCAGGTGGGCGGTGTTGGAAAGCTGCCCGGCTGCAGCCATTCAGCTGCAATCACCGGCTGGTATAAAAGGAGCAGTCTGAGACCTACACAACGTCGGATGATTAACTCATTGGGGTACACGACCAAATCTCGAGCTCTCTTTGTGATTTTTTTGTACTTCTATTGATCGCTAACTTTCCTGAGCAGATATTCACTCTCACCACCTCTCCAGCCATAACCTAAGGATTTTTACCTAC